CCAGCCTGTCAAAAAGCACTTATTGTTAGATCAATTTTTTGCCAATAACGATCAAAAATTTATGATTTCAGTGTGGGAGTTTGGCAGCAATTATGCTAATACCAGAAATATGACAAAAGATGTTCGATCAAAACTGCCAATACATAATTTATTAAAGTAATTGCATATTGTACGAACATTACGTGCCAAAATGTCTATAAAAAAACTAAGTTACTTTCCGAACAACCTAATATAAATTATATAATTGAATGTCATTTTATTAAGGATTAATTAAGGTACACTTACTTCTAATAGCAAACAACTTTGGCTTCAACTCCGATTTGCATCATAATCTGATTTTTGACACCTTGTACACCTCCAACTCTGAACACAAGTACTTTCTCGTTTTTTGCATTTTTATGCAAAATTATAATTATTAACACATTTATTCTTCGACATTATGCGACAAAACGCATCGACACAATTAACATGAGCTTCTTCGAGGTTATGCAGGCTGCTTAACACCTTCGCTCGGCAATTTTCGCCATACTTCGGATCCTTCGGATCCCGAAGATTGACACTTTGCTATTGACAGTTAGTAGTGAAGTTAGATATGAAAGGTGAAGTCTACATCGAGTGATTTCTTTTATGTAGTACCAAAAATGGTAGAAAGGACAACTGGTAAAGTAATAAATGTTTATTAGAAGTTATTTCCCTAGACAATATGGTAATTACATAGCATTTTACAATGTTTATTCACAAATTTGCGATATCTAATTCAATAGATTATTCAGTAATAACAGTTTTGTTCAATTTATTTAGACTATTTCCCTTACTTTTGCCCAATTTTTGTAGTTCTTTGAGAACATTATCAGATGTAGTAACACATGTTGTTAAATTATTTGTCTCTTCTAATATTGATTTGAGAGTTTTACTCAAACCTTTTAATCCTACATTTAGTTTTTTAAAAGCCAGTTTACTTTCCTTGTTGGTGAAAAATTGGTAGCTTAGAGTCACAGATAAAGGAAGAGTGCTTAGATAAATATATTTATCTAAGCACTCTTCTTTTATCTGTGTATCTAAGCTACCAATTCTTTACCAACAAGGAAAGTAAAAGACATAAACTGGTAGATACAAATAACGAGACTAATGAACAGGCTGACAGGTGAATTGGTAGGTTAGTAAAATGGTGGATTCTTAAACAGAGTTGATAGTTAAATTGGTTGATAGGTTTATGTCAAAAATATCCACGCGTAAGGATCACATGCAATTGAATTAAAACTTATTTGCTACTGTACAAGATTGCATTTAAGTAAGGATAAATACATCATATAACAATTTTGAATAATGTTTATTAGTACAGTAGAACTCCAATTATCCGAACTCCGACTATCCGAATCGCCGATTATCCGAATCACTTTCAGAAAAAAAATTGTCCAAAAAAGTCTAAGTTACAGTCAAAACATCAGCTTACATTGACGGAGATGTTTAATAAAAATGATTTTATTTCTAACCTTAATACATTTCTAACCATAAGTACATTTTATTAACTTCCCGTAGGGTAAGTTATTGTAATGGGCCGAAAATCGGTATTGAAAATTTTTACATTTCTCGACGTTTTGAAGGTTTCTGAACGTTTTGGCATACCTCAGAAAAAATGGATGTGTGTGTGTGTGTGTCTGTGTGTGTGTGTGTGTGTGTATGTGCGGATACAAATTTCCAGTCACGTTTTAGGGCGCACGGATCAACCGATTTGAATGGTTCAAAAAACATTCGATTCCTATTGATAGGGAAAAGAGCTGATTAGTTTTTGGCAAAGGCAGGTCCAGCCGTTGCGGAGATACGGAGCAAAGAGTGCAGAAAATAGAAATCGAATTTTTGAGCGAACGGAGTATCCGATTTGAATGATCTAAAAAACATTCAATTAGTAATGATTGGGAGAAGTGTTTATTAGTTTTTGGCAAAGGCAGGCCCAGCCATTTCGAAGATACGGAACTAAATATGTAAAAAATGGCAGTTTTTGAGAGAACTAAGCGTCCGATTTAAATGATTCAAAGAACTTTCTGCTTGTCTTAACAAAATAATTGATTTTGGAAAAAAAAATTTGTTCCAATTTTTTTTTTTTTTTGTAGTATTTTGTATATCGAAAATATTTCAGATTTTATTTTTAATTCTGACTATAGGTCTAATATACTTTACAAATAATTTCAACTCTGCAATTCGGTTTATATAATTCTTATAAATATTACACAATGTTACAATATTAATAATAATCTATTTGAAAACATTCAGTATTACTCGAACATTTTCGTTACGGTGCGGGAAGTTCCAGCAATTTGCCTTAAGGCACGATGCCATAATTGCCTCAAGACAGAATTCCACTTACAGCTAGTTTATATTTAAAACATGTGAAAATATCATGTTTCTTTCATTTAATTCAATAAAAAAAATAGTGCAATATCAAAACCTAATTTTTTTTCTCTCCAAATGCAATTTTTTTAAAAAAAACTGATTATCCGAATATTTGATTATCCAAATGGGTCCCGGTCCCCATTAATTCAGATAATTGGAATTCTACTGTAATATGGGAACACTCGTGATGCACACGGTTATTAGTGTCAACCATTATACACATTTATATAATGATAAATTATATATTTATAATAGCATTAAAATTATATATAATATTTAAAAACAATCATGTAATTAAAGTCATATTTCAAATATGACATGATCAGTTTTTCATTGAAATTAGCATTAAGAAATGAACCTTCATTAGAGAAATGAACTAATTGCTGATTATTAGATTCTTTAATATTTGTTCACACAGTGGATTATGTCAAACGACGCCTAAAGAAATATTGTTTTCACAATTTCACTTATCATGAAATAATTGTGTTTGAAGAACATCATGTAATTAAAATTAACACATATTTATTGACTGCTTGTATTTTTTTTACTTTTTCGCTGGCGATATAATCTAATTCTTTGAGGAGCTGTAATATCTGTCTTGCCTAAAAATATATTCGATTTTAATAACTTCAAAGATTCATAGAAACTACGAATAATATAGAAATAATTTCTAATTTTACGTTTAGTTCACGACACAAATGTTTAATTTGTTTTACTATTTTCAAGGAACAAATATTAAAAATATTCTTCTGATTCAGGCATTTTTCATTAAATCAAGATTAGTATTACGAAATAACTTTAAAATGTTTATTTATCTATTGCCGTTTTTCCTTGTTGACGAATACAACGACAGAACTCTATTCACATACAGGACGTCTAATCACAATCGACCTGTATACTGCATAGAAATGATTTCATCGAGAGCGAATGACGAATCATTGGCACTCGACTCTGCCGTAACGCACTTCCGTTGCATTTGTACGGATTTACACCCTAGTCACGCCTAAAGAAGTTATACTTCATATCCACGGGTTTTCACTCAAATCAAACGTGTCAAAAGCTTACAATTTTTCACTTCAATCTTTAATTTGAAAAAAATTGGTTTTTATAAAAAATTACACCGAGAGATGCTAAATTGGTGTTAAGATAGCAAATTCAGTAATACATTCCTTAAAATTTAGTTGTTTTTTTTTAATGAAATAAGTGGACAATACAATTTCAGAAAAACTGACTCGTCTAACATGACTTATCAATGTTTATATCAATTATCAATAAAACAAATAATTAAATTTTCATTTTCATATTTTATTAACATTAATAATAAACAAATATTTTATTGTCCATAACTGTTACTAATAATAAATATAAATTACTTGAAACAAATAAAATATTCACATCAAAAAAATTTACACGAATATAATAAAAATAAAACCATACGCAGAATAATGTTTGTATTTCTTTTATTCGATACATAAAAGAAATAAATATTCATAGTTTTGTTTAATTTTACAGAACTAAAGATCACAATAATTAATTTTTGCTGCAATTTGCAAATTTGCATTTCATAAATAATATTTGATTTTATATTAAAATATAATTAGTCAATAAAATAACTTAAATTGTTTACAAATATAAACATTCAAATGACGTACATGTATATATGTATATATGTAAATATATACATGTATGTGCACTTTAAGATATAATTAAGAATAGAATAAAATTGAATTATACACATTTTCAACACTGTTTGAATAAAGTAGATAGGTACTTTTTCGTAGAGCTTAAAATTATAAATTAAATGAAATAAATGAAAGTATGCTAGAATTTATCTCCCACGCATATGTCTATTTCAGACGACTAATTTTACTTTTATCTAGGATAAAAATATCAAAATTATTTTGAAGTTACAAAAGTTGTTTGAGATATTAATATTGATTACTAGATAGAATATTAAACTCAACCATTGCATGCCACAATAATAAATAATTTAAAACATTAAAATTCAAGAACGTTTTTCTTGAATTTTTCTAACTTTTTAAACGCAATGAATTTATTTCGATTGATATGTTGAGTTTAGCGATAATGTGGCACTTCTTTTAATTTTTTACATATATAATAAAGGTATTAAATAATTCAAATAAACTTAAACATTAGTGCATGAGAGTTATTTGACTCACAATAAATTACTCACATATATAATAACAGAAAAAATAAGCACAAATGACTAATTTTGATCGTAACTCTCATAACTTCATTATTTACCTTTATGTGTACTTGTCAAATGTTTGCTTAAATGTTTATGAAAATTTATTCTACCTTACAAATCGCTTTCACCGTACAAGGCTGTGCTGAAGGACATGTAATCGAGAGCACCGGGTACACCATTGGGTCCCTTGTAAGGTGGCATACGTTGAATGCAGTATTCGGCCTGGTCTGGTGGCAATTCTCTGCGTAACTCATCGGGCAGAATGTATGGCTGAAAGAAGGAACAATATTATTTATGTAAATTTTGATTATTTTTACTTTACACTTATATTACATTACACTTTTATAAACTTTTTCATTAACAAATTTGACTTTTAAGATTATTTCTATAAATTACACAGGCGCACAAAATAAACTACTTGGTATTGGTATTTTGCCTTGAGGCAAGTTAAATGAACTTCCCAATAGGTGTAAATAATCGACTAATCAATGAGAAATAAATTAATTTATGAGTGATTAAAAGTATTCCAAGTGGATTTATTACACATAATTGTAAACGAACGAACACGTTAACTCGGAGTATTTTCTAGAAGCAAATTTTCAAAAATCAACATTTTTTATAATTGTACCAGTTTCCGCAGGACTAATACTTTGGTATGTTCATTAAGACTAAGACTAAGACTAAGTGCTCTATCGTTACACCAAGCATATCGTCTAATTTTAATTTTAACTACTCATTTTCTCAAACTTTGATGAACTTTTAAATTTAAGTACGTTCTATAGACCATGATATATATCGTCAAAAAAAAGTTCCATAAAAATCGGCTTAATTTTTTTTTTCAAAAGTTAATTACAAGAAAACGGTTCGGTAGATTTTCACCTAAAATTAATCAGTATCATTCCCAACTAATATCTTTCAAACAGTTTTTGATATTTTAAAATCGATTCGGTGGTATGAGCTTAAATGTGTACGAAAAGTTTAACACTTGTTTTCAAATTGCAAAGACAAGGCTCAGCAGATCGTCGCACAAAACTGACAAACGATAGTCCTCATCGAGATACATCAAATGACTTAAATTTTTTAAATCGGTCCGGGCGTTTTTGAGAAAACCTCGATTTACAGCAAAAATCTGTTCACCTGCACACACACACACACATACTTTTTTCCAAATTTGGTCTCATTCGATTCAGAATGGCTTGAAACGTCGAGAAAACATAAAATTAGCGAATCGGATTTTTTAATGATACATAAGCTTCTCCTTCGAGTTAAAAAAGTAGTAATTAGAATACGAACATTATTTTGGGTCAATTTTTATTTATATTATTAAGACTAGCCTTCCAAATATAAGTGGTGATGGCATCGTGCCTTAAGACAAATTGCTGGAACTTCCCGTACCGTAACGAAATGTTCGATGAATATTAAATGTTTTTATGTAAATTATTATAAATACTGTAACATTGTCTAATATTTATAAGAATTCTATAAACTGAATTACAAAGTTATAATAACTTATTTAGAGTATATAAGCGAGCTTTAAAACTTTAGTCAGAATTAAAATAAAAATCTGAATTATTTTCGATATACAAAAAAAATTTAGAAAAAAATTTAAATTAAAAAAACCAAAAGCAATTTTTTTGTCAACACAAGCAGAAAGTTTTTTGAATCATTCAAACCGGATGCTTAGTTCCCCTAAGAACTGCCATTTTTTGTACATTTAGCTCTGTATCTTTGAAATGGCCGGATCTGCCTTTACCAAAAACTGATCACCTCTTCTCCCAATCATTACAAATTAAATGTTTTATGGATCATTCAAATCGGATACTCTGTTCTCTCAAAAGCTCGATTTCTATTTTCTGTACTCCTTGCTCCGTATCTCCGTAACTGCTGGGCCTGCCTTTGCCAAAAACTAATCAGCACATCCCCTTATCAATAGGAATCGAATGTTTTTTGAAGCATTAAAATCGGTTGATCCGTGCGCGCGAAAACGTGGACGATAAATTGTATCCATACATACACACACACACACATACATTTATTCTAAGGTATGCCAAAATGTTCAGAAACCTCTGAAACATGAAGTTATGCAAAAAATTTAATTTTCGATTTTCTACTACATTACTATAACTGACCCTACTGAATGTTAATAAAACCTAACTTTACAAATTTTTGTTAAATATGAATAGAGATAATAATAATACCTTGTCGGAGGCCAAGATTCTGAAGCTGTCGATGACTTGTTCGGCAGTGTCGGTGTCTGTACTTTCGCGGGTCATGAAATCTAAGAATGCATCGAAGTGGACGTATCCAGTTCCATTGGGATCGACTACTGCCAAAATCCTTTGGAAGTCCAAATCGCCTTGACGATCCTTTCCTATCGAGTAGCCGAGGGAAACCAGGCATGACTTGAACTCATCAGGCGCCAAACGTCCTATATAGAAATAATAAAATTAATTGCTGAAATTTGTAACAAAATTATAGATACAAATAATATATTTATAAAAGAAATATTTGCTTTATATAAGATATAAGATATGTGAGTGGTATAACAATTTATAGATTTAAATAAAATTCGTGTACAAACCCTTATAAGTCCTTCTGACCAGACCTACTAAGAAAGTTAAAAAGTTCTTTATAGATTTTATCAATAATTCATGGAACATAATAATAAAAAGATAGTTCACTAATAACAAAATCATAAACGGTATATGTAACGGTAAATTATCAAATCTAGCAGATGAGGTAAAATTATCAAAATTTACAGAAGTACAACAACAATATTAAAACTAAACAAAACTGGTTGAAAGTGACATTTAGCCTAAGTTGCATAAACTACCAGAAATGTGTAAGAATTGTAATAAATTACCAGAAATTAGATATTTAGATAAAATTTTCAACTGTTTATTTCAAAAATAAAGTTATCGCTTTCAATTAAATCTAAACATTGCGATTTCGAATAGAATTTTCTCCAGCATATTTAAATTAACTGTAATTATATTAATTATATTGCACAAACACGTGCTTGTATGCCCTAAATTTGATATTATTTTAAATTTTAAGGAATTGATAATGTTTGACTCATCGCATCACAAAAGCAACTTTTGACACAAATTGTGACTAAAATATTTTCTCAAACTTTGATAAATTGTTAACATTGAACTATTTATCGTAGGGCCGTAATATTTTAGTATGTTCTATAAGACCATGATATATATCGCCAAAAAAGTTCTATATTCTTTTTCAACAGTTAATTTTAAGAAAACGGCCCGGTAGATTTTTACCTAAAACTAATCAGTATCATTCCCAACTAACATCTTTCGAACAGTTTTTGATTTTTTAAAATCGATTCGGTAGTATGAGCTTAAATGAGGACGGAAAGTTTAACACTTTTTTCCAAATTTCAAAGAAATGGCTCGGTTGATCGTTGCACAAAACTGAAAATGCCGTTTAAATTTTTGAAATCGGTTCAGGCGTTTTTGAGAAAACGTCGATCAAAAGTCTAATTTTGACAAACGCCAACGCGACCACCTTTTTCAAACTTTGACGAACTTTCAAAGGTAAACGAGTTGTAGGACCGTAAAAATCCTCGAACAAAATTTGTTTAACACTTTATTACAAGAAAATCGCCCGGCCAAAAACTATTCAGGTCGATTCCCTACCAATATCTTTCGAACGGTTTTTGAATTTTTAAAATCGACTTAGAATTGCGCGCTAAAACGTGGACGAAATTTTTTCACTTTTTTGCTATTTACAAAGAAACGACTTGGGCGATCATCGCACAAAACTAAGAAACGACGGTCCTCATCAAGATACGTCGATGGTTTTTGAATTTTTAAAATAGGTCCAGCCACATACTTTTACCAAATTGGGTCTCATTCGATTCAGAATGGCCTGAAACGTCGAGAAAACATAAAATTAGCGAATCGGATTTTTTGATGAAAACAAACTTCTCCTTCGGAAAGTTAAAAAATACAATTAATTATGAAGAAACAGCAAGTTCGATTTTTTTTACTAAAAACTAACTCCTAACATGTTTCGCAACCAACCATCATTCTAACAGTTTTCTGCTAATTGCAAAGAAACGGCTTGGCTGATCGTCGCGCAAAACTGATAAACGCTAGTCCTTATGAAGGCTTTTGAAATTTTGAAATGGGTTTAGCCATTTTGAAGAAAACGTCGACGAAAGGAAAAAAATGGTTCTCATACATACATTAATACAAACACTCACACAAACATTTGTTCCGAGTTTGGTGTCAAACTTCTCCTTCGGGAAGATTATGTTGAACTGCTGAGTTTTGGGTCAACTATAGCAACTCTTAATGATATTTTTAATAATTTTATATACAAAATAGAAAAAGAATCTATTATCTTGAAAGTGGTATATTTATCCTACCTGTGCGGTTCTTGTCGAAGTGGTTAAAGCTAGCCCTGAATTCTGTGAGCTGTTCTTGCGTGATGCCCTTAGAATCGCGGGTCAAAATTTGATTCTCGACTTCGTTAACATTTCTATTGATACTGGTGAGAAGTTGTTCCCAGCCTACACGTAATGTGTCCATTGTATATTGAGTGTAACGATTTTCGAATACCATGGCTTCCTGGACGGCCTGGTGGATCTTTTCCAATTCCTCGATGTGTGGCTTGTAGGCGTACACGGCTTGTTCATAGTCGCGCAGGCGGTGTAGTTGTTCTTCCAAAGATCCCTGGAAAAATTAAAAAGATTTATTAGAAGAGTAATTTATAGGGTCACTTCTTTTCCTCATATGCTTAAAATAAAATTCAACACTCGATTTGTTTCATATATAATTTCTTTACTACAGACGATACTGTATAATTGCGCAACCTGTGACTTGCACATGTATTCTGTAGGGTGTGTGTGGGATGTTTTTTGGGAAACCTGACAGACTGGTACAAGCACTTTTCGATTATTTTAATTGTACAGTCATTCAAGTCGGCAAGTTAATTCGTTGGAAGTCTGTGGCAGCACATGTCCGTTTTTGTTTTACTTTGTAGCGCATACGTAATTCAAATTTATGAAGTTATCAACTTTTGAAAGTATTTAAATTAGCCCTCTGAACCCTTCGAATTCTGTTCTGATGCTGTGAATATATAAATTAATAATAAAGATATATTTTAGGTATTGCCTTGACATTTCTTAGTTGACATGTTTAATATGCATGCGCAAACACTTGAGCATACACGTGAGTCGTCTGTGGGCATATGAAAATACCAAATAAAATATAAAAAATGCCCCTACTGCCCAATCATTCAGTTTCACATGTATACAGTAACGTCTGTGGTACACACAGTAATTATAATTCTATTATAAATTAATTAGATATAAATATTCTTTACATGTTTGAATCTGTCATCACTCACCATAAGACCCATTCCAATAGCAGTGACAGCATCCATTTGTTTTTCGATCCATGGTCCAACAGCATTGGCTTTTTCAGCAAACTGCCTTCGCAACATTTCATTATCTATTAATATAAAGTTTGTCGATTAAAAAACAATCATTACTTTATTTATATGTACAAAAACATTATAAATGGGCCGATTCAGCCTTACAACAGACTAATGTTATGGCGAGACCATGCAATGCTCCAACTTCCATACATTATGCTACTGAATTATACTGAATACTGTCAAAATGTCATGTATTTGCTGTGCATCCAGGCATTTTACACATAAACTGCAACGTCATTCGTATGTTATGGAGCTAAGTCATAAAGAGTATAATATCTAAGAACGTTTTTTGTCAATTGTGCGGTTTCTAGGTTAGGTTTTCTATCTGACAACCCGAGAAAAACGCCTGACTGCACGACAACCACATGGCTTTTGTTAAAATTTAGAACGAATTAGTATGGAAAGTTATTCATAATATAGTCTTGCCATAACATTGGACTGTTATGCGGCAGAATCGGTTCAAAAATCTATAAAATTATGTAGAATGATTTCTAAAAATATCGTCTAATAATTATTAATATTTTTGGCATCGCAAAAATTAATTCAACTGATGATTAAAATTAAGTTAGATTAAATTAAAAAAAGTAAAGTATTACAAATTGTACTTGCAAATTTGAAAAATAAAATCTGGCTTTGACGTACTTTCCAGATGTCATTGTAACTAATTGTAAGTAATCAATTTTTTGCAATATTTTAGTAATTGTATTTCATTTGTAATCCTTTCTGATTAAGTAATTAAATAAATAAATAAATATATATTTAGAGTAAACATTTCAGTATTGAAGAACCTATCCCTTAATAAAAATTCCATGAATTTGACATTTTTTTCACTTTAACCATTTCCAATGGTTTCTATATGAGTTTGCAATAAAAATATTATTTTATATCATTATTATACATATTATTGAAATTAGTTAAAATCGAAAATATACATTAATAAATAATAAATACTAGGAATAAATACGAGGATAAAGCAGGGAACAATAAAATTTCACGTCAAAAAATTTAAGCAAAGTGCAAAATGCAAAATAATTGATGGTCTCCACCGATAATATAAATAAATTAACGCTAATAAATTTACACTTTATCATTATTTTTTCCTTACTTTGTTGTTTGCGCAGCTCGGCGGCCAATGTCTCGTCTCTCCTTGGAACCAATTGTCTGACATCGGTCCATTTCTTAGTGAGTTCGTGTGCCGTCAAGGCTGTGTAGGGATTCTCCAATCCTCCAGGGATTTGATGTTGTTTGACAATGCTTTCTACTTCTCTCACCAGCCCGACAATGCTCTGGTGTTCTTTGTCGGCTTCGCCTAAAGTTGCCTTGAAGTGGGCGTGAGCGTCCATGAGTCCTGCGATCTCTTCCATCGTGTGAACAATGAACATATCGACCAGATCTTCGCGGGTTCCATCCAACCTAAGAAAAAAAAATATAAATTAAGAAGTCCTTAAGTCAAAAGTAGGGGCATAGTGACAAGAGACAAGTAGCTAAATCTGAATTCTTATTAAGGGCGTTGTTCGGTTTTTATTTATTTTTTTCGATTTTGAGATTTTTTGATATTATGAAAGCTAAAAACCTTAGAATTATTTTAAAAAAAAATCATCTCAATATATATATTTTTTTTGACGAAGTTGTAGATATATATATCTCTATATGTATGATCCTCTGGAACCGTTTTTTCATCGCTCCGGAGCTATTGTATGCCAGCTGCACTCTTTTTCATTATAATACCTCATGCACATGACCTTTTTAATGTGTCAGCATCTTTGAACACCATGGTGTATTTAGTACATTAAAATAAATGGTGTATTTAGTACATTATATTAAAAACTTTAAATACGTTTTTCTCAAATTGACTTTTTTCAATGCGGTGCCACAAATTAAAAAAAAACTACAAGTCGGATCGACTTGCATTTGTTTTAATTTGTTCACCACCGCAATACCTAGTCCTCCTACCTCAAACAGCTTGATAACATTACACAAAAAAATTTTGCGAAACTTCTCGCCCCAAAAAATAGGCCCTTTTTGACATTTCTTTTTAAATAGCTGCCATTTTTTTCTTTCTTGCTTTTTTTCTTTCATTTTGGGGGGGACTGGATTCAAACTTCTTCTTCAACGTAGTTTCTTTTTTTTGTATCAGGCGATGTGCAACGGATTTATCTGTGGCACCGCAAAAGAGATCGATTTTGCAAAGCCGACTATGTCGCCCCCTGGTTTAAAAATGACAGCGAAAAAAAAGAAAATTTCGTAATATTCTATGATTTTGTAATTTTTGTTTAAACAAAACCGCATGTCTCAATGATAAATACATTTCGAGAAAAACAAAAACAAATACCTTGCATTTTTTGTAAAAAAAAAGAAACAACCCCCTTAACAAGTCGAATTTTCTGGCAAAAACATCAACTGCTCCTTCGGGAAGTTATTAGGATTATTAGTGGGATTTTCAACTTACCAGTTGTTGAATGGGGCAGCGCGCTTGGCGAATTCCAAATGTAGAATATCGATCTTCTCCAAGATCTTTTCGGCTTCATCGAGAGCGGCACGCCTGCGTCCGGTCAAGGAGCCCAATCTGTCCCATTGGTCGCAGATGCGTTGGCAGCGGGCATTTACGCTCACCGAATCGTGGTATTCGAGGGTGCTGGTGGTAAATTAAAATAAATTAAATATATATTTTTAATAATATTATTATTACAATCTAATTCAGCTAAATATTTGCTTTTATTGAACAAAACGGAGTATGATAAAGTTGCTTAACACTAGAATGACGGAGGTTGGTTGTATACCTATTTTGCCTGATCGAGAGTCAATTTGGGTAAAGGTTAGGGAGGAATAGAAATTAATTTTTGTATACCATTAATTGTACTATAAAAAAAACAAAAAAATAATTAAAAAAATGACTTGAAATTGTTATGTATGTCACATAAAAATGCAAATGAGTCAAATTGACACGGTCCGTCATTCTAGTGTTAAATCGTAATACTAACAAGTCTTACACCTTACCCCGGCTATAGTTCACATTTATGAGTTACATATACAGTAATACCCCGCTTAACGCGGGGTGTACGTTCGATCACAGTACAGCGTAATGCGAAACAGCGCTAAACGAGACTATATTTACATGGAAATATTGGGGTTATGGGTAGATGACTAAGAAATTGGAAGGTATTAAACTTAAAAAGTATGTTTTTCAACAAAAATAAAACCAGAATTTTATTTCACAAAGCCCACATTGGTACATATTATTATTTCTTGCAAAAATAAAAGCAAAATATAAATAATAAAACCCATATTCTTGAAAAAAAAAATAGACAAAATTTTAAGTCAGTCATAATTAGTTAGCCTTCCGCATTTTCAATGTTCTGCCTTTTTGTAAATAAGGCATCTAATGTTTGCCCTTTTATTTCGCGTTTTTTTCTTAAAAGTTATTCTCAACCGGACAGAGCATCTCTACTTTTAAGCTCCTGTCTAAATTCGGATCATTTTAAATGAATTGATCAATTATTTCAGTTATGGTAGAGAAACTCCTTTTTACAAACGCCATCGAAAGTACTTTTTTGATCATCTTCTGAATCACTGCTGTCAATATTTTGGTTCTGGGTTGAAAAGAGCGCTAAATCGAAACAGCGCTAAACGAATCAGCGTGAAGCAGGGTATTACTGGATTTAGTTGAGTAGGCAAAGGCTTACTGAAGGCTGGTCTCCTTTGTGATTATATTCTTAGACAAATAACTCTAAAAGTAAGCTTTCTGACCTTTTTCGTTACTAACTTATTTGGCAATCGGTATTTATTTAGTAAAATTTGCATAGGTTATGTCATTAGTTTTAATTTCAAACTTCTAAGACCTTGTTGCTTAAATCGTACCTGTGCAAAATTCATTATTCTTATTGGTTTAATAGTGAGCGTAGAAATAATTAAAAGTAGAAAAAAAAGTAGAAAATTTTCGATCAAAATGAAAAACTCGAAGTTAGTGTAACCAATAAAGCCTGTACTAGATGTATGAAACAGTTACATTTCCATTCTCATTATCAGTATCCAGATACTACCTTGAGTGATTGAGATAATACTTTTTAAGACTATTATATGAATTTAGGTCTTATGCTACTAATTATAATTTAGGTGCTATGTTACTAATTATGTTAGACTTGGTAACTAATAACTAAAGAAAAGTTGATCTCAGACCGAACTCTATGTAGTTGGCAGTATGTTCGACTAACAGTACAATCAACATTTTGGAAAAACGTGGTAAACTAATTTTAATAAGAAAATCAATGAAATAAAAATTTAATAAATGCCAAAGATTTTGATTCATTTTGATTGCTTGAATCACAAAAAATCTTAGAGGGTACGACTTAAGCAACTTTACCACACAAAAATTCATGTTTTCTTATCTACTTCATCAAGGTGTTTCTGTTGGTTTTCTATATATTTTAAAATGTAAGTATACATATAAAATCCACATTAAAATTTAAAATAAAATCTACATGTATGTAATATAACGAATTGTCAAAAACCAAAATCGTTTTGGTATTAAAAAGGCGGAGTTCTTGGTTAGACTCAGGAAAAACATTAAAACTATATGCCGCAATGTACGACAGGCAATAAATGATTTCAAAATTCCTTGTATTTTTTCAAGACAGTTATCTTAAAATTATTAAAACACAAAATATTAAGAAAAGTTTTGTCAGTGAAAGAAAAGCCAAATATGCAAATATTTCTTTTCTCAATTTTAATGAAAAATATAGTTATCAACATAGATAAACAAGTAGGTAAAAATTGGTCATCAATTATTTTACGGATAAATGGAAAATAATAAATGGGTTTCAATACATTTGAAATATGGAAAATATTTTACTTACTTAAGTTCCTGTGCAATAGCGGCGATTTGTTCAACGCGATCTTGGTGGGCAGCCAAGTCACTTTCGAAGGCTTCGTGCTTCTTCTTGAGGGCCTTGATTTCATTCAATTTGCATTGGCGGAAGTCTTGAGATTGCAACATCTCTTCCTTACCACGAGTCCATTCTTCGTGAGTATCAGCCTAAAAAGTAAAAAAATATTATTGGAATATCCCTTCCTAAAATTCACCTAGTAAAACAATATTGACACTTAATCAACATACTTTACAGTACAACACTATTAAAAAACTGTAATTTAATATATAAAAAAAGAAAATAGAAGTAAACTTTATATTGATATAAATTTTCCTTACCTTGTGCTTGAATTTCTGTGCCAAATGTTCCAATCTTTCAAGACGCATCATTTCGCTAAGTAGCCACTCTTCGAAGGCTTTTTCTGAGATTTCCAAACCTTTCCATGCGTTTGCAATGTCCTGAAAATTATATTTATAATATTTATTAATATTCATGTTATTTTAATAAGGCTGATATAGAAAATAAAGACTGAAGCAGTAGGTACTCATAAAAGAAGACCCAAATAAATTTAGCTAATGGTGGAAGATCACTTACTGGAGTGATTTCTATATATTTTTTTAAAGAATATCAGCTTTGTATTATATTGGTTCTCTTCCTAGAGTATCCTCTTCCACCAGTTTCCATAACATATTGTAAATTTTATCAATAAGGAAATGAGTTATTATATTCTACTTACAGAAACCATTTTTCCTTCAGTGGGCATGTAGGCAGGGCGATTGGACAGCCTCAATTTAGTTTGCAGGGTGTTAAAGTTAGTTTCGAGCTTGGCCTTCTGTTCAACACGTGGTGGCTTGTGTTTGCGCCTGTAAGTTCGGTATTCTTCCAGTTTTTTCTGGACACCGGCCAAAGAGTTGTCGGTTTGTCGGGAACCCAGCCAGGGCATGGTGCGGCGGATCCATTCTAGCAACTGAATAAAAAATTATAAAAAATTGGTTGAAGTGGATAAAAACTAATTTACAAGAGCAGTTGTAGATGGCATATAGAAACAAAAACAGTGATCATAAAATCATCAAATGATGAATCAACTATAGTAGTCCATATCATGATTTTACAATTAGGACAATGAAGATATTTTTTGCCATCATATATGATACAGAAAATAAAACATTTTAAATTTAGCTAAATAAATATAAAATCTATAAATAACTACAATCGAAATCAAATTAAGCTGAACTTGATTATAAGTTGAATAAATTAAACCTGGGTACGACTGATAAGAACATCAATATCAACAGGAATAACATCAATAACTTTCTACAAATTTTCATATAATAATTAGCAATATGTTGCCAACTGAAAATAGTCACTGCCCAACATTGTTGCATCAATTAAAAATTCATCAGATAGAGATATAATAACCGTTTGGGTTGCCATCCATAAATCCACGTTCATCAGCACAATAGCTCATAGGATTCATTAAGTTCTGATTGCTGTTAAATATTTAAAAAAATATATATGTTGATTGATAAAAATAAATACTTACATCGCTAGCAAGTCGTTCGTATTCCTCCATGAGGCGTTCATTTTCTTGATTAACTTTGAGAACCTTGCAGATACGGTTGGCGGCAGTTTCGGCCTGATTGAGAACAAATTTCAAATACAATTATTTTATATGGTATACATATATACATATATAAGGAGACATGCAAATCCCGTAGGCAAAGCAAGATAAAACTCAAAGCAAATATATTATTATAGTATTATATTAATATTACAAACGGTGACAAAATCACTCTGAATAACAAATACATACATTGTCTATTAATATGTATTAACTTGTATAAAATAATCCAGGTCATTAAAATAAACTGAAGAAATGCTAAATCAATTTTAGTTATAAAATAATCATATTCCTATATTTTACTTGCATTCAATCGATTATTCCAATTGGTACATTGGCAATGAGATACATCAAAATTAAAGAAAGAAAACTTTTATTATACATTTTTTTTATTTTATTAATAGATCCAATTAAGGACTCCCTGATCTCCCTGAAAATTCATCATCGTAAAAATGTGTTTTTTTGTCGTTTTTTCAAAAATTTGTTACCTGGTCCTTTTTACCCCATGAATCTCATAGACGGGGAGAATAGGACGGCCAGGGTAAACTGGTCCAATGTCTTATATTTATTTTTGAAGGAATTTAACAAAATAGCCAAGTCTGCAATTAAGGACTAGCCCTATATTCACAATCAGGGTAAACCCAAATTTCTTAATTTGTATCTTTAGGTTGACCATGATGATGTTAAGGATTTGGTCAAGTAGAAATAAGGAAATTTTAAAAGTGAACCGATGATACAAAAATATAGTATAAATTGAAAATGATATTAGGAGGTTGCAAAAGATTTTTTAGATCCTCCACGATATAATACTTAAAAAATGGTTTTATATGTAAATTAAGAATAGTCGTCTTTCATTATAATTTCTAGTAAATAGAACAAACATGTTTTACCAACCCTAAATAGATTTGAGTATAAAATAAAATATCATTATTGAACTTAGAAGATAAAAATCAGGATAAGTACGGACAAAATGACCGTTTTGTTTTGTAATGATATCTATTTATATAATGGTTTTATAACCAGTCTCAATCGTATTTACTTATCTTTGGTTCAACGACTACCAATAAGATAGTATTTTAATTAAGTAGTAAATTAAGTAACCAATAATAAAAACATATTTATTTTTAAAAAAATGCAATTTGTTACAAAAAACATTTTCCCATATAGCATGGACACAATAACATATAGGACATACTTAATTTATAAAAATTATTTAAAAAAAAAAGCGAACCCAAAAGGTGCTTTTCAAGGCGCGACATGCGTTTGAACTGATTACTCCAAAAAGACTCTTGACAATGACGCTCAACATCTGAGAGGATTGTTATTTATGCGTGTTATACTAATTATAAGGTGGCGTCCATTAATTACGTGATCGATTTTTTTTTGAGATTTTTGGACCCCCCCTCAGTGATACATTGTAATATTTAAAATTACCCTTTCCCCCGTCCCCCCCCAAACATCACGTGTATTTTTAGTTACGTAACATTATTCGAACGATTTTTTTTAAATTTATGTAAAAATCGTATAATTTTTTAAGTTTATTTTTAAATAGGTAAAATAAATACACGTGATATTTAACTAGACCCTCTCCCCCTCGTGATTTTTCGTAATTTTTTGTCACATCCCCCTCCCCCTAAAAACCTCACGTGATTAATGGACGCCTCCTTAGCAAAATTCTAACTAGTAACTACCCAAGTTTTAAATAAGGCCACTGTGTCATTTTGTCCATATATACCATTTTGTCCGTATTTTCCCTATATAAACAATGGCGCAATTGAAACATTCAATTTTTATACCACCTACTGTAATTATGAATGGATTGGTAGCGAGGAAAACATGAAATATGTATTATAAACCCTATGGAAAATTATAAATATAATAATTTAAGTTTTGATCTAATCTTGTCATTAGTAAATAAGCAATACAAACCTTCTGGGCTCCTGAGAAGCAATGATAGTAAGACGAAACGTAAGTCATGACGGCGCGTTCGTCTGGCATATCTTGTAAATCTGCACACAAAAAAACAACGAACATGCACTAGTATTGAATTGGATTATTAAAGCCTTAATTATTTTTCTAACATTGTTAAAATTGCAAAAAAATCAATGAGAAAAAACGCACACACAAAAAATATTTTGGTAAGTTCTCGAATAAAAAATAATCAGTAAAAATCGAACTGCAGTTAATGGTTATTGGATGTTGACCAGTCTAAATTTTACAATAATGAAGACCAAATGGGTATTACATAATAATAATAGATAATGTATTTTATTGTTTTTGCAATATCTTTAAGAAATAACTGAATTTCAATGCAGAACAGATAGAAATTATATGAGAACAACAAAGGATCATAAGAACAAGTAACGACCCAGTTCAATTATTCCAAATTAGAACACCAGGTCCTAATGGTAAAGAGGCAATTTGATTTTAAATGAATAAATAAATAAGAAAGATATAATAAATCTTTTTCAAACCAATTTTAAATGTTTCAAAGAAATTATTAAGAAAACAACGTGACTTTTTATTTTTGAATATTGTGAATGAATCACGGTGTAGGAATTCTAGTTATTTCTGGTACAGCTAAATGTTTTATTTATTTTTTGCAAATACATAATAAATGTTGTAAAAATACTTTGCTAAATAGCACCGGTATTTGTTTAAAACGAATAAACATCCGTGAAAAAATTTTGGTATGTTTAATTCTTTAGAAAAGAAACATATTACAGAGAAAATGTAATTGATATAGATTCCTATTCTAATTGTAAGACATATCAAAAAATTGTTACAAATATTAAATTGTATTACATTTTTATATCGATTACTACTGTTTATTTTTTTATTCGAGTTCTAACTAAAAAAATATTAAATATGGACCCATACACTCACACAATATCACAAATATGAAATTAATGAAATATTATATGGCAGCAAAAACAGCAGCTGATTTATCTATCTAAGCTGTGAAAAATTGTTTCTAATTATAAATAGAAATATATAAATATAAATAAATCTTTAATTATCTTGAGCCATAAATAATTAATGAATTTCTTTTAGCTGAAATGTAGTAAAACTATTTAGATTATGTAAAGAGAACTTATTACAAAAAATTAAATTTTTAAATTAATTAATACTTGATATAATTATCTAGATCTAAATTATAGATCTAATTGATATTAAGGTTGAGTATAAATGTATGTATATTTTGAGGTATTTGAAATGAATTTTATAAATATAAAACTTGAAGCTCTCAAAATCTGTTAAAGTAAATTAGCTTCATTAGTTAGTAAACCCAAAATGTCAGTGATTTGTAGTATGATGTAATCAATGACTGATTAAAAACATAATAGACCATGCTTATTATTAATTATATAATCGTATCCTTCGTTTTTTCTGCGTTTATTTTTCTCAAAAAAGAAAAAAATATATAAACTAGATGTATCTATAAAAATAATTATCAAAAATTGTATGACCGAATAAAATAAATTCATTGATTCAATTTAAAAGAATAATGGCTAATGCGTTTATTAATTATCTTAAATAAATATTATCTTAAAAACTCTGTTTAATTTGTTGCACAAAGAAGTGTTACGTAACTTATTTAATTATTTAAGTTTAAACTTATTTAATTCTTTATTGTAAGTTTGAAATTTTATTACTAACTGAACAATATGTTTATTTTGTTGCAGAATGATTGAAATGTTACGTTAATGTTACGTAACATATCAACGATTGGCTAGTTAATGTTACGTTACTGAAACAATTGTTTCAGTAACCGATTTCTATGAAAATATTGTGATATTGTAATTGTAAAAAATAAAAAATAATTTATCTTAAACTTGTTTAATACTTTGTTATAATGTAATGTATAAAGTTTGAAATTTTATTACTATCTGAAAAAATATGTTTATTTTGTTGCACAAAGATTGAAGTGTTACGTTAATGTTACGTAACGTGTTAACGATTGACTCGTTAATGAAACGTATTGTTTCAGTAACCAAATTATATATAATAATGTAATTGCAAAAAAATATAAAATAAATAATTGAAACTCTTTAAACTTGTTTAATTATTTCTTATAATGTAAAGTTAAAAAATTTATTACTTATAATTTTGAGTTGAAAAAAGTATATAATATAGGGTCAAACAATTTAAATTAATGTAATAAATTTAAATATATGTAAAAAAAATGTAATGCAATTTTCCTCCAGTGCAACAGACAAAAAAAAAATAAGAACGCACTAACAAGCAACAATTAGGAAAATATTAAATACAAAAACATTGAATTTGCCATATATACTTTTAATTTGTAGATAATTTCTTAAATTATGTTGCCATGTTACTCTTAACTATGTTTTTCCAATATTTTAATTAAAATGTTGACTGTTAATGTGTTTTTATAATTTTTCTGTCTTGAAAAAAAACTAGAAAGAAATATCACGTTGTTTGGAAACTATTGTAAAAAAGTCAAATGAAAGTTCGAAATTTCTGCAGAATAAATATTTCGGAATATTTCTTTTTTATTAAATTAGATGAATGTCTGAAAGGTCTCTCTTACTTTATATACGGGGTGTCCCAGACTTTAACGTCAAGCCAAAATGGGATGATAGTATTGACCCTAACTGTCAAAAATTAGTAAAAAATTATATCACGTTGTTTGGATATTATGAGCTTTTAAGTGAAACCTAGAGTTTCACATTTTTCAGTTATTGTAGTTAAATATAATTTTGTTCATTTAAAATTTCGAATCGTTATTCTTTTACTTGAAATAATACCAATAGGTGACCTAATTTTTGACGAAATTTGCCAACACACTTTAGTATATTTTTTTTAAAGGAGGTTCTCTTAAACTCGACCAATTTAAATTTGTAAATTTTAAAATCATAGTTCAACAAAAAAATCTTAATAATTGAAAACTTGGGACAATTGTGTTATTATTTTGGACTGTGGTCCTAGAAATATTATTTACGGTTACGGCTCGAAAGCTTGCATAAACAAAATTAACCACAATAAACGAAAAATACTCATAATATCACCAAAGTTCTAGGTAGTACTTAAAAGCTCATAAATCCACACTTTTTTCTAATTTCTCAGAACAGTTAAGGTCAATACCATCTCCATGTTTCGGTTTGGCGTTGAATTCTGGGATACCCTGCATATATGTAATCAGGAAGTCGATTGTAATTTGTTAAACATTTCCATAGAAATGAAACTAAATATTCAAATGAGTAAGTTTACGACTTCGTCTGGAACCATTTAAGGTAAAGTAACTATACATAAATAATTATCAAATAGATTCTTGCATTAATGAAAGATAAGTGTTTACTATATAGTATACGTCAAAGTTAAATTAGTAAAGAATTATTACAAAAAGATTGTCCGATTTTTTATCAGTTAATATAAGCCATGGTCTTTTATTAATTTCGCACTATCAAATTATTATTATCCAAAAAATAGCAAATAAGCAAGCGTCGTCAAATTGCTTGCAAAGCGAAAAAATTTCAACCCTTCGAAATGAAATCCGAACCTGTTGCGCCCCCTGCAAGGCATGATAGTAACAAGACACGTATGTCATGATGGCCCTCTCATCGGGCTTTGGAGTGTTGATCAGATCTGAAATGTTAAATCATCCAGAACATCTGCATAATGATAAAATTAAGGACACAGTAAAAAATATTTGGCGAAAGGAGAAAATTGATTATGGTTGACTTTGACCCAAATTATAGCGTCTTTTAACCCTTAGGATAAGGTTGCTCATGTGTACCATCCCCTAAGACTTAGAAGATGGTACGACTTGAGCAACCTTCTCCTTATCCTCAAGACTTCAGTTCTAAAACGAACCCCGGCTATATCACAAATAATTATAAATGACAACATCTATTAAAGTTATTTTAAACTATATAGTTTACATTTAGAAGACTTTGTGAAGCAGAAATATTTAACTAGTAAAACTTCTTTAGAAAGTAAATCAGCGAAAATGCAACGAAAGCCTGTTACGCCACAAACTGTTCGTCATTGGCTATAGATGTGATCGTTCTTCTATACGGGTCGATTGTGATTGGTCGTCGTGTCACGTGCGTAGGGATCTTTGGTTGTATGTGTACGTCACCGGGAAACATGTTGTTAGGAATGTCATTAGATTTTAAGGTGGCGTCGTAGTACAAATCTCGATTTAATAAAAAATGTCTGAACCAGAATTATAATCTGTTATAAAACAAATGAAACATCTGTGCCGTTTAACAAACGTAAGTAACCGTTTCTTTCTCAGGAAATTTAGACAATCAAAAGTATAATTGGAAATATTAAAATAAAAATAAATATTTTTCTTAAAAATATATCTTCGAGTCAAGTCGTTGTGTCAACACGTATATTGATACACAATATACTTTTTTTATCTTTTACTTAAGTTTTTTTTCGGATTCAACTAGAATAGAATTTAATACTGAATACAATGAATTTTATTACTATTTTTTCTGCAATTCCGAAAATAATTAGAATTTGTTTCTGAAATTTTAGGGATATATTTTCGACTAGTTTTGGAAGACATTTTTGCAATAAAAAATAATCGATTTTTTTAAGCCTCTTAAGCAGACGACTCCCCCCTAACTCGTCCTATGAATATTCAGAATAAAAATGTAAAAAATATTTGAATAATTTAAAGTGAAAATTTATAATTTACCCACTTTTTAAACAATCTAAAGTGAAATTTTGTATCAAAAAGCATGATTTTTTTTCAAGATGCAAAAAATTGGTAAATTTATATTTTTTCTGGATTTTTTAGGTTCAACTAGAGTCTATACTATTGAAACTAAATTTGTTTTGATTTTTTTGTTTCGGATGGAAATAGTGACCTGCATCTTTCCCGCCAAATGACACCTGCACGTTGGTAGCGCATCGGCAAATTGCTTATACCCGGCATATTATGTCAAATACTTTAATGAGAAAAATTGAGAAGAATGTTGAAATATATAACAATAAAACCTGAAAGTTTCGCTCGAATTAAAGATTTATTTCCTTCCCTAAAAAATCCTCAAAAAAGGCTATTTTTTGACGCCTCTAAAGCAGGATCCCCCTTAAGTCTTAATTAAATTTTAGGTTTAAGCTGTTGCTCCTTATTTACAACATGATATAAATCTGGTGGATTAGAAAATTGGTTGATTCAATTTATATTTGTAGAATGCTTACATGATTGAAAACTATTTAGTTCTATTTAACAGTAATAGATAATAGATGTTGTAGTTTATAAAAATTGAGCAAAATATAGCCGAGGTACGACTTAGGCAACTTTTCCCGAAGCAAAGTCTTTGTATTCATTGAATCCTATAAAAATAGTAGCAACAATAATTTTTAGTTTAAGGGTTCTGTTCCTGCGAATTTCGATTACATTCCAATATCTTTTACATTTTGATTCTGAATATTCAAGGAACGAGTTAAATTATAATTATATATCACGTGATATAAATCCGGTGAATTAGAAAATTTGTTATTGCAATTTAGATTTGTACAATGCTTACATGATTAAAAACGCTTTCCAAAGTGTTATAACCGTTTGCTTAGTCAACAATTTAGTTCTATTTAACAGTAATAGATAATGGATGTTGAAGTTTATAAGAATCTAACAAAATACAGCCGAGGTACGACTTAGGCAACCTTATGCTAATCGTTGTTAGAAAACATGTAGCAAAATATAGTCGAGGTACGATTTAGGCAACCTTATTCTAATCGTTGTTAGAAAAAATGTAGCAAAATTTGTCCTAATTTTTGTTAGACAAAGTCTTCGTATTCATTCAATATCAGCAAGCCTATAAGAATAACAGCAACAAGAGTTTTTTGTTTAGGGTTCTGGTACTTCAAATTTCGACGACATCAAAGGACTACCATCATGGAAACAATTTATTTACAAAAGTCAAACTTTAATGCCATTTGATATCTACTTGTAAAAGTTTTATCATGAATCAAATTCTTAAATCATTCAATAAATTGACTATAATCGTAGCAGAATTTTAGAAAAATATTGAACTTCTGCTAATGTTAAAAGTAGTCCTCCTAAAGTTCGGGCCAACATAGATATAATAAAGTCCCTATTATATAAAGATCTAATAAACTGTTTTAAATTTACACCACAACCATGATGATCAGTACGTTCGTTGGTCTAGATTTGTCATTTATCCCTTATCCCTTATCCCTTACCGTCTGGATCCAACATCCTTGGGATATCCAAGTACTTCTCGGCGACATCAAAGGCAGTGTTCAAGTTCTCCAGCGGGTTGTCTTTGGAGAGTTTGCTGTAGTCGATTAAGTCGGGCCGGTGTCGGTGGATCAGGGCGCAGAAGGCAAGACCGTCCTTGAAACTGAGGTGGAAGTTTTGCACGTTGACGTTCTTGTAAGGAGCAGTCTTACGTTGGCACCACAAGAGCAGACCTTCCTTGGCGGTCATCTCTTCTACGGAGATGTCTTGGATGGCGAAACGGAGGATGATCGTCCAGATCATACCCAAGGTCATTTTTAAGTTTCCATCTACGATTTCTTCAGCTCCGATGGATACCAGTTTCACACCTGGGGGAGGAAAAGATAATTAAAATATGGAGATAGATTCAAATTGATGAATATCATTGTGGTTCTAAAATATTAAGGGGACAATTTTCCGAAAAAAATAGTTAAATTATGTTATATAGTTGAACAATTGCTTGAGTCACAAACTGTCTAAAAGCACAAAATGTCTATGCTAAACCCTAACCTAACCCTAACCTGTTTTCTTAAGTTGTGCAAGTTTTTGTAGTCACGTGGTTGGAACTTTACACATGTTCGAATTAAAGTTATAAAGTTTGTGCCATTTTGAAGTTAGGAGTAAGTTTAAGAAGTAAATATTGTGTAAAACGCTGGATAAAAAACCAAAGACAAAGACATAATTTTTTGACAGTTTGTGACTACGGTACAGAGACCGGTATCATAACATAACTATTTTATCCTGAGAATTAGCCCCTTAATCAACTCGATACAAAATTTAACTTGTCGTCGTAAGCCAAATATATCTTCATTTGTTATCTTTACAATTGAAGAGCCTTACAAGACAAAATATATACATAAAATGTACAATAAAAGCTGTTGTATTGAATTTTTATAATTATATCTAGAAATTACCTAACCATTTTTGCAAACTTTTAATAAATCTTCAAAATATACAAAAACAATTGTCAGCTCTTGTATTGAGACTTCTCTATTTCGTGGAATTTTAGAAGGCAACCCAATAAAAATAATAGTCCATTCTATTTGTAAATATTTCCTTTTATTAGAAGAGAAACCAGTGGTGCAATGCATCGTGCTTTGAGGCAAATTGCTTCCCGTACCAGAATAAAATATTTGAGGAAAAAAATTACTAATCAAAAAATATTGATCAATGATTAATTAGAATTGTTTTAAACATTTTCAAATAGATAATTATAATCACTATATATTTTATCGTTCATAACATTACATTAAATATATACATTTTCAAACTGAATTGTAAATTTAAAAATCATATTTGAAACTTTTTTCTAAAAATTTTGAAATTTGCTTAATCCGTATTAGTGAACAAAATTAACAATATTGATACGGAACCCAACAAAATTGGTACTGATTTTACAAAATTTTATCAAATATCTGATAATTTGATGTGCATATCCCTAATGATTATTTTTGACCGCCAAATATCTTTTTTTTATTTTTACCTCTGTATCTCCGAAACCGCTAGCCTGGCTTACCAAAAGTTTCATCAATTCTTAATTTCGTCAATAAAAGTAACATGTTTTTTGAATCATTCAAATCGGTCGATTCGTATGCCAGAAATCGTAGACGAAAAATTGTATCCAAACATACACACACACACGCACATACATCCATTTTTTCTGAGGTATGCCAAAATGTTCAGAAACCTCTGAAACAAAGATTAGCAAAAATTTTCATTTTCGATTTTTTTGCGATTACTATAACTTAACCTACAGGAAGTTAATAAATGGTTGTCCTTTCTACTTATGTTGATATTACTGTTATTATTAGGCAACTCAACGGTTGTCTTTTGCCTGTATTTTTCTATAAAAAATTGTTTTATTTGTTTTAGAACAACAAGCAAGAGCTCTGTCTGCTCTTGTATTGAGATTCCTTTACCTCATAAAATTTTAGGAGGATGATAGTCCTTTCTATTTGTGAAGATTTCCTTTTATCAGAAGACAATTCAAATGGTTGCCCTTAGGCAACTCAACGGTTGTCCTTCTTCTCATAATTATGAAATACTTTAACATATTGCAACAACGTCGACAAAATCACTTTGAAACATTTTGATCTATATTTTCTAGATTCCTACGATATGGCCACTGCTCGAAACAAGGATTTAAACTTGGGACTATATAAAAATATGCAGAAGGGATTATTTGTAATAAAATTAGTTGTGTAATGCAATTGTGCAAACAGAATTAGTCAATAATCGACACTTTCATATGATTTAAAAGCCAATTCTTCCAAAAATAAATTGTGACAGTGTTGCTATGGCAACTCAGGCGTTTTAGATATGAAACTTAACCTATAAAACGCACAAACATCAAAAAAAGAATGCTATCATAACTGCACCTTTCTGATGTGCCATGATAACACACGTGAAGTTAGATAGATATACATAGCATTTTGATAGTTTTTACTACCAACTTATATAAAAAAAGAAGCGTAATACCACTCTATTTTGTCAGAGAATTGACCCCTTAAAGTAAAATCAGTTTGATTTTTTGTCCGTATTTTTATGATTCATTAGATATGAAACGTGAAGTTAGATTTACATAGTATTTTGACAGTTTTTACTACAAACTTATATGAAGAAAGAAGCGTAATACAAGTCTATTTTATCAGAGAATTGACCCCTTGAAGTAAAATCTGTTAGATCTTTTTGTCTGTATTTATGTGATTCATTAGAAACTTTAATTTCAAAATCATTACAATCAATAGTAGAATTTTCATGAGTACTAATAGAAATTATTTTATAGGACCTCTACTAAACATATGACTAAACAATATTAAACCACTATTTATAAGAAATGGAATTGATATTGAAAATAAATTGATAGACGTGTTATATAATTATCGTGGTAATTTTTACCATCTGAAATTAGGTAAGTTGCATAAAATTTAATTAGCAAGTATTTTACAACTGTTAAATATTGATTTTCGTCGCCTTAAAATGAGTAAAGCATGAATTTATTAATAATACAAACATTATAAAAATTTTATGAACACATAGCATTGATATTTCAAAACCCATTTAATAAAGTATGTCGTGAAACTCTGCACGACGAAAAATATTTAAAAATATGCCTACTAAAAATAATTGCGATAGCTTCTCGATTACATACATTTCGCATGCGTTAGTTATTTTTGTCCTTCTATACTATAAGCAAGTGTCGTGTGTGGGTTGTTGTTTTCATATATACGAATTTTTTTACATCATCGTTTTTGTCTTGGTCTTGGGTATCAGGGTATCGAAAATATACACAACTAAAAACGAGTGATGTAACTACCGGTGCCCACCAACCAACCAGCAGGATGATCTCCTGGTTATTAATAGAATTAACAGCATGGTGAATGTGCCGGACAACACTCATATGTAGCTACTACTAGACCGTTAGCTAAATTCTTCACATGTTGGAAATAATATTTAACGGTAAAGGAATAATTTGTAGATGAAAAATGCGTGCTAATAATCTGTTGGCTGGACTTCTAATAAAAAAATTATTTAAAAAATAATTGTCAACTTTGTTACCATAGTTAAACGTCAAACAAACTACTCATTTCCTCAAAATTTGATGAATTTTTAAAATTAACCTACTTGTCGTAAGGCCGTAATATTTCAGTAAGTTCTATAAGGCCATGATATATATCGCCAAAGAAAGTTCCATGAAAATCGGCTTAAATTTTTTTTTCAACAGTTATTTACAAGAAAACGGCTAGGTAGATTTTCACCTAAAACTAATCAGTATCATTCCCAACTAAGATCTTTCGAACAGTTTTTGATTTTTTTAAAATCGATTCGGTACTAGGAGCGTAAATGTGGACGAAAAGTTTAACACTTTTTTTCAAATTACAAAAAACGGCTTGGCAGATCGTCGCACAAAACTGACATACGATAGTCCACATTGAGATACATCAAATGGCTTTTAAATTTCTGAAATCGGTTCAAGCGTTTTTGAGCAAACGTCGATGAAAGGTCTAATTTTGACCTAAAAGGTCGAAAACGACACTTTACAAACGACAATTTTTGCAAACTTTGAAGAATTTTTGAAATTAAACGACTTGCCGTAGTGCCGTAATATTTTAGTATGATCTATAAGACTATGGTATCGACCGCCAAAAAAATTTGTTTAACACTTTATTACAAGAAAAATAGATTGAAATGTTATGTTTTTAGGATTTCAGTAAGTTTCGCACATGTTGAAGATTTCTTACATGGCTGTTTTTCATTTTTTACTCGAAATTTTTTGGTTATAAAATTATCAAGTATCCTGATTAAATACGTCAACACACTTCACTACATTTTTTTAAAAAAAGGCCCCCTCTCAAAGTCAACCGAATTTAAATCTTTAAATTCATAATTCAACATAAAGTCTTAATTCTTGAAAACTTGTGGAAATTGTATTATTGTTTTTGATTGTAGTCCTAGAAAATTAACCACAATATCCACAAAAAATGGTCATAATTTCACCAAAGCTGTAGATTGCGCTTAAAGCCTCATAATTTCCAAACAATAGGACATAATTTTGTTTCTATTTTTTTTTTCAGTATAGTTAGTTAAGGTCAATACTATCAACCTGTATATGTAAAAAATAAATGCTATTCATTTTTATTGTCACAAATAAATGAACTATAAATCTCTACATCAGTTACAAAGCTTAACTCGTAAATAAATAAAAAACTAGATGTACATGGCATTTTCCCTTAAAAAAAACTTGCAAAAACTTCCCAGCATGTGTAAATAATATATCGATTATGTCGATCATGAATTGAGATTCAGCAACGTATGATTTTATTTTTGAAACAAACTTTAATGTTATTTTTTATAATTAAGCCATATACTATTTTAGGTAAAAATTTCACTGCGTTTTACCAAAACATGTATAAATGTACCCTCAAAATTTTGAACAGATAGATTCACTATTTTTTATTTTAATTTCCAAAAATGGCCTTTATTTAGGTTATCACACTAGGTGTGTCCCTTAAGACCGCAAAGTTCCATTAATTACTATAAAACTGCTTGGCTAATTTTCAAGAAAATCTAACCATCATTAGGATTTAGTGCACTATAATTAAGACAAATTTAATATAATAATAAATATAAAGAAGCACTGACATGCTCCTTAATTAATTAGCGAAATCAAAAGTTTCATTTAAAATATGTATTTGTCTAATGAATAAAACCGTTAGATTTATTGAATACATATCTCCATTAATTTTAATAAAGGCAATAATAATGGTTTTTTAAATGAAAACTGTAGATTTTGTGTAGTAATTTACAGCGATGATACTTTTGTATATTA